GCAGCCCCTCCTCCAGCCACCACGTGGGCCAAGAGTCTGGTTCTTAGTCTTGGGAGGCTCTCCTGGTCAGAACCCCCCAGGGAATCAGCTTAGGGGACAGGTTTGGGGGCGGAACCGCCTTGGGATCTCTAGACCCCGTCCCATATGGGGCAGGACGCTGGCAGCAGGGGTACAAGATGTGCTGGGGGCTCCTGCAGAAACCCTGCCTTCCACCTGCCAGCCTGGGGATGGGACACTTATGGGTCAGGGCAGCTGCATTTGGGCTGTGTGACAGGGTGAGTTAGCAGAGTTGAGCCAGGGGGCTAGGGAAAACCCCCTTTCTGTTTCTGCCTGGCAGTCGGCACTCTAAATTGCCAGGCTGTCAACTGTCACAGCTGATCTGTTCCTGGAGCAATCAGGGCAGAAGGATGACAGTAGGTGCCCGCTCCCCCTGGCTCCTGTGGACAGCAGTGGGCTCTGCCCGGTCAGCTTTGTGGACATTGTTATAGCACGCTGTGTCATTGGCTGGTGGCAAGGGACTTGTTCTGGGCCTGAAGCAGGTGTGCACGTTGGTGAGCCACTGTTCCATTTCATGGCCAGTGTCACCTGATGTGGACATACTGGCAAGTACAGCCCCCCCCCCCAACAACTCTGAATGGAGGTGACACAGGAATGACCTTCGGGTCACCCTCCCCTGCCCCCCGGCATTATGCCAGTTCCTCACACCGGCTGCCACGGTGGCCAGGCCTCTGAATCCATATCCAGTCAGAGCCCAGAAGTCTTGAGTTTGAGAAACAGTCCAGACCTCACCGTCACCCCTGGGGTAGGGAAAGACAGGACAAGAGGTGGTTCAGGGCTCCCCAGTGCCCACAGTGGGCCATTGAGTATTGGTGTTGGAAAGACCATCCTGGAGCCAGAAACAGGCCAGAGAGAGGTGGGGACATGTCCAGGGTCACACAGCATATTCAGAGTTGGAGGACCCTGTCCCTAGCTCTTCAGCACACCAGTCATTCTTGGGGGGTTGCTGCCCAGGGAATGCTCCAGGGGACTCTGTGCCCCTGCAAAGGTTCCTGCAGTGGAGGGCCAGGGAGGGGTTATGGGACTCAGCAAACATTAAGTAATCTTGGGTCTCATGACTGGAGTTGCTTTGGTCTCAGCGCTGCTTAAAGGGCCCAAGGCAGCCAGCCTTCCAACCACCTCTCTGGCCTGCCTGCCCTGCTGCACCGCACCTTGCTGTCCCCACAATACCACTGGCATTAGTCATAGCCCCTCCCCAGTATTCGGAGAGTGTCCCAAGGCCAGGTAGAGAGAACCGGGACCTTCACGGCCTCAGCTGGCCTCCGCATCAACATTCTGATTCCTGGTATGTGTGTGTCCCTAGCCAGAAGCTGTTACCAGTCAGCTCCCAGAGCCACACTCTCCTGCTCAGCGAGGCCTCGAATCTCACTTCAGGTGGGAGGGTTGACCAGATGTCTCACGACTCCCTCCCAGCCCCTTATAGGCAGGGAGGGGGTGGACAGTGGGGATGCTTATCCCCTCAGGAAGTGCTCCTGTGTGATGAATGAGGCTGGTAGAAGCCCGTTCTGGGGACCCCCAGACTACCATAGCTCAGACCTTACATTCATTGTCACCACGCTGTGTGACCATGACTGTTTCAGGGGAGCAGAATCTTCTGGTTCCCCTGCCTCCCCACTAGACCCACCTGACCCTGTCTTGGCTCCTGCAGTAAGGTGTATCCCACCCTACTGCCTGGAAACACTATTTGTTCTTTCTCGCTCTCATCCATGTCTTTTCTGTGATGTCCACCAAGTCCTTCCCTGGGACACCATCATCGCTGAGCAGGACAGCTGGGGCAGGGGCCCAGGAAGGGACTGCCTGTACCCTGCTGGTGGGACACTATTCTTCTAGGGATCCTCCCATTCCCACCCCAGACTATCACAGCAAGTGCCAACTAGGAAAAGCAGGCAGCAGACAGTCAAGTTCTCAGTGAAGCATGTGCATTTGGCTTTCAGATCTAGTCAGATGCAGTTCAAACCCAGATCACGTTTCCTAAATCCCTGTTCAGGTCACAGGAGCTGTCACAGTTATCATCATCCCGTTCCAAACACAGAACCACAGTCCCATCTGTTAACTTGCAGGATGCTTCTAGAAGCTTCACCTTAAAACAATGTCAGCCTCACAGGCCAGCAGGAGGGATCACAGCTTTCCACCTGCCACCATGCATGAACCTTTGAGAGGTACTTGGTCACTCCAGAGCCCACCAGTCTTCCAGTCTGTGTGCCCCAACTCCTTGAGGAGGCCTTCCTCTGGGAGAGGTTGCTCCCATGTAGGCACCCTGAAGTCCTGCATGACAGGACCCCTGAAGTCCTGCATGCTATGTGTGACGGTGGAGCCTGGGGGAAGCTGGACTTGCCTTGTGTGCTGCCTCTGCAGAGGAGCGCCTCATGTGCAATCTGCATCACGTCCCAACCTCCTGTGCTGACAGACTCCTCTCCACACTGAGCACCCTGAGGGTACGCTGGTGGCACTACCTTGCCCCAGTGCCAGGGACTTATCCAAGTCTTTGTCACCCTCGAATGAACTGAATCCAGACAGGAAATATGCTGCCTTAGGAGCCAGTGTGCTCCCTCTCCCTGGGAGGCAGAGGATTTATGTGTGTGGCTGACTTGATGTCCTGGAGGGCAATTTAAGTCCTCAAACTCCCAGGGCCAGGGACTTATTTTGTATTTCGCGTTTTTTAATCACCTGAGGACTTGGTGGAAAGCTACTAGGACAGTCCTAGTTTGATAAAAATCCTCAGTGCTGGAGTGTTTGAATAAAGCCAAGTGCCTAGGGGCTTTCTGGGGACAGTCGAGCTGCAGCTCCGCCAGGTGCCGATCTGGGGTGGGCTTTGGGCTTATCCAAGGGACCTAAGGGTTTGGTCTGAAGTGACCAGGAAGGAAATTGAGTGTCTTTTGGCAAATGCTTGAGCAGCAGCTGGTGTCACTGTCTGCCACATGAACTTGGGGAGTCCAGATGTGGGAGAACAGCCTCCTTGTTCCTGTGAACAGGCCCCTTCCCTCCCTGAGCCAAAGCCTCCCAGGCTTTATCGTGGAGGACCTAAGAGCACTGGCCTCTCTCCCAGGGCAAGGGGACTGGTCAGAAGTCACAACCAGCACCCACAAGGGTTAGGGATGAGCAAAAGGGTAGAAGAGTGTGCAGATGCTCTCCCCCAGGGGTCTACAGAGGTGGGACATGGCACTGGCCCTCTGTGTCCCCGGTGACTGCAGAGGGCCTGGAGGCAGCGGGGCTGGGTTCAGACCCCAGCTCTCGCCTGCCTAGTTTCACACATGAGTTTGGTCAGGTCACTGGACCACCTGTGCCTCAGTTTCTCCTCTAGAAGGGTGGTAATAATGCCAACCTGCCAAGGCAAGCGAGAAGCCTGGGAAAGCGTATCAGACTTCCTTCCAGGGATCACAGGTGCCCCCACAGGTTTCTAAGACCTCAAAGTCCAAATAGAAATGTCAGCTCCATTCATTTACTCATTCAACTGACGTTTATAGAGTGTCAACTGTGTGCCAGGTCTTGTTTTCAGTTACGGTTGGCACAAAACAGACCAAAAGCCCTGCCCCTGGGAGCTTTTATTCTAGTGTCCAGAAACCCACAATAGGTCCTAAGCAAACAGAGACAAGAATTTTAGAGAATCGTAAGTGCTCAAAAGGACCAGCCCTCTCCCCTTGCAATGAAAGAAAGCTTTGAAAAGGAGGTGAGGACAGCCCTGGTTCGGGCTCTGCTAGACCTAGATTCTAGTTCTTGCCCTGATGGTTTCCAACTTGTGGCAGAAGCTTGGGGGAGTTCCATCCTGTCTCTGAACCTCAGTTCTCATCTGTGAAATGGGGGAGCAGGATGAGCCTGCCTGTGGGTCTGCAGTCACAGCTTGGAGCCCCCATGCCTGCTTCCACTCCTGTCACACATCCCTTGCTGGCTTGAATGTGAGATGTGGCCTGTCACAGAAAGGTGAAAAGCTGTCTAGGCACAGTTTAAAGACAAGTAAGAAGGTGCATTCAACCTCCACTCAGGTTAGGACACAGAGCACGGCTGGAAGTCCTCGTGTGTGCCTTCAGTCACTCCCCCACAGAGTCTTGCCACCCTGGCGTCTGGGTGATCAAGCCCTTGTTTCGCTGTCCTCCCACCTGTGGAACACCCCTGTACGATCTGATTTCCTTTCCTGGCTTGGGGCCTTCTAGACGCAGCTGTGGATGCCTTGCTCACAGTGACTGCAGCCTCTTGATGCTAGGAGGAGCTGCAGTTTGTCCCTCTAAACGAGACGGGTTTTGTGGTGACCCTGGTCGACGCTCCCATGATGGACAAGGGGCTGTGTTCAGTTTGGGGCTGTTGTCCTTGAACCTGGGTCAGCACACGCACCACTTCCAAGACTCCTACCACATTGCAGGGCATGGCCAAGCTCCACACCCCGCCTAGCCCCCCCACTCAGGCTTCGTAGCTTTGTGCTCACCTGGTGGTCTCTCTGACATCTGAGTTCGCATCTCCCTGGCTGTGATGAGGGCGTTTGGGGGACATTGCTGTTTATTCACCATTCAACTCTCTGTGATGAAGGCCTGTTCAAGTCTCTCACCCATCTCCAGCTGGCTTTTAATTTTCTTGTTGATTCGACAGATTCTTTGGATGTTTCTGGTTGTAGTTCTTCAATGGTTACGTGTGTTGTAGATATCTTCTCCCCCTCCCTCCCTCTCTGGCTTGCCATTTTTACTCTGAAGGGGTCTTGGGAGGAAACTATAGTTTCAGAGTACTTAATTAAGTAGTCAAACCTGTCCTCCACTTCATTAGTGACATCTTGTGTGTGTTTGAAAGCCATTCCTACCTATAGTCACCGACAGTTGTCTGGATTCACAGTCACGGGACTTTAATTCACCTGGAATTATATTTTGTGTATAGCATGAAGTAAAGGGCCCCATTTCTCTCTCTCTCTCTCTCTCTCTCTCTCTCACACACACACACACACACACACACACACACACAGGGTACAACTCCAGTGTAAGGACGGTGTTCTCTCTCCCAGCAGCGCTGCCCCCATGAGTCCACTCTATACCTCTCCCGGTGTCTAGGAGCCTGGGCTTCAGGTGGTGGGCTGGAGGACCCTGCAGGGCTGAGTGACCAGGGTCACCCAGAGGGCGGGGCGCAGCCCTCCCCACCTTGCCACACTAGCTGCTGCTCCTGCCAAACAGGTCCTAGGGCTGCGACGTCACGTGTCCAGCTGGTGCTGACTTGGGCTCTGGCGGATTAAGCAGGGGCTCAGGGTTTATGACCGGCACTGGCCCCTGCCCAGGCCAGGGCAGGGTAAAGAAGCTCTCCTACCGGGCAGTGGAGGCGACTCAGAGGCCGGGTGAGCTGCGACCATCTGTGGCAGGAGGCCCCACCTGAGCACTGGAACAAGGTAAGGGAGGGCAGTCCATCTGGGACCTAGCCCCCAGTACCTCTGGTTGGGAAGTAAGAAGTCTTTCCCAGGCTCCTCTGTCTGTGTCTGCTGGGCAGCCAGGACTGGGAGGAGCCCCAGAGGCCCTGTCCCACAGAAGACAGTGCCAGTGTAAGTGCCAGTTGAACCCACACATGTGCACAGGCACCCTGCCCACCCGCCCCCAGTGACTGTATCCTCGTTTAGTGGCCTGCCTACTGGGTGGGGTGGCCATCACAGGCCCTGCTGTCTTTGCTGTGGCAGTAGTCAGCTGACAGAGGACACAGCCTTCGTCCTGGCCCAGAAGAGGGGAAGGTAATTGCTGAGCACTGGGCCCTTCTACCTCATCCTCTTTACCTCTGGGTTGCAAAGTGGGGACGATTCACCTATTCCATAGATGAGGAAACTGAGCCTCTGAGAAGGGCCAGGCTTGCCTGAGGTCAGGCCAGCCTCTTCCTCCTCTGGGCTCCACCTAGCCATTCAGTGACTGCCTTCAGCCCCTGATGGCCTCCCCTGAGCTGTGTGACAGACATGTTATTCCAGAAGCAGGGCTGCCACTCCCAGGGTCTCCAGAGAACCCAAGGCCACTGGAGAAAAGTCAGGGCCAGGAGTAGAACCTGCACCTGGGTCCCAGCTCAATGGTGATTTGGCCACTCACAGCCCCCCCCCAGCAGTGGCAGCCAGCCCAGATGACAGTGGTCCTCACCACATTGGGTCCCTTTGAGGCTGAGGAGCAATCATGGGGAGAGCTGCTCCACTCCCACAGCACAGAGTAAACCTCTGCCCCTGTCTTCACGGGATCAAGGAACCTTGATATCCAAGGTTCCTTCATCTTCTGAAACTCTGTCTCCTGGCCTTTCCCTTTCTTCCTGGGCCTTTGCATGTGTTTGCATCTGTGGAGCTGATATTTTTGGGCCTGTGATAAAAATGTCCAACTCTGTATACAGTGGAGACTACACATGCCCCTCCTCCCCGGGGCAAACTCGAGAAGCATTAATGGGTTATCTGATTAGATATATATTGATCACCCCCACCTCCACCCCCATGGCTTGCTTGGTTCCATGCTCTGATTTCCCTCTAGTCCTGTGTGTCCATCTACCCTGGCCGGCCAGGGACCCAAGCTGCCACCCCCTCCTCCCGAGAAGGCACACATATTTGCAGGCGCTGGCACAGGAGTTCCCTGGTCAGCAGGCCTGGAGGCTGCAGCCTGGCACAGGGCAGGCAGAGGGATTGTGAGCAGGAAGAACGGTCTCTCTGTGCCCAACGAAGACCCAAGCTGGAGACCAGTTCTCCCCACCTCATTCCAACCCCAGCAGATCTGGGTCTGGGGGTGGAGCTGGAGACTTGGCTCAGGCCCAGTCTTGCTGCCAGCTGGCCACTGTGTAACCTTGAGCCAGCCCTGGATTCCTCTGGGCTCCTGACTCAGTTCGGCAGCCCAGACAGTATGGCAGACTCGGTGAGAGGACTGAGGCTCTGTCCCCTTTTGGACCCAAGCAAGCCACACCCCACCCAGTCCACCCGGGCCAAAGCCTGTGATGTGTAGGGATGGGGATTCATTTGCTTTAAATATTAAATTGCTTAAAAATACCTTAAAAACCTTAATGTCATACTGAAGGCCATGCTCAGCCTGGCTAATGTTTTCTCTCAGACCTTGTGACTTCTGGGCCTACAGGTGTCTTGCCTCTGCCTGTGTCCTCATCTCCCAGAGAGCTGGCCTTTATCTCTCCCCAGAGTCTGAGAAAGGAAGATCACAGGTGGCTGCATATGGTCCCAGATCCTGCATCTATGCCTGTGAGCCCTCCCCAGGACGCCTTCCTGCTCAGAGAAAGAGCAGGATCCACTCTTGGCCTTGGAGAGGGTGGCAGGGACCAAGAGTCCCAGTCACAAGTGGCACAGAGCTTCAAGTGCTCCCAGTGCACAGACGTTGAGACTGTGACTGCACAAGTGTGGTCGGCAGAAGCACAGCTGCACTGGTTTGAGCCAGAGGCCTGAGGGCTATCTCCACCAGAAGAGGGCGCCAGTACAGTCTCACACAGGGTCCCTGCATGCAGATGGCAGCCCCGACCTTGGGCACACCCACTGACAAATTAGATGCTTGGACTTGGGGTCCCCTGGGTTTTGCTGTGCTTACTTTTCTAGAATGTCCCTCCAGAAAGTCCAGTGGGAGCCCAGGGAAATCCAAACACCCTGATCTGTTTGAGCAGCCTGAGTTAGACGCAGCAGAGAGAGGGCCCTCGACCGTCTTAGGGGCTGCAGACCCACCTGGCTTGGGTCTGCTTCTGTGCTCGGGTCAGCTTTTCCTGGCTGTGCCCTGGCCAGGACTCCTCCACACAGCCGGAGGCCTTCGTTTCAAATCCGTGAGAGTGTGCCAGCCCCTTGCCTCTCCCTGCCCCCGGGGAGTGAGTGCTGCATTGGGAAGCTGTGTTGGTGGGCACAGGACTCACGCGAGCTGGGTGTAATTCATGTCACCCACAAAAGCTTGCCAAGCACCAGACGTGCCAGGCCCTGTGCTGGGTCTGGGGACAGGCAGTAAACCTGCCAGCCTTATCTGTATCCAGAGGGAGAGACACGCTGCCCCAATGTGCCATGCCACCCAGGTGCTGGGAGGAGCAATGGGAGCAGGGCAAGGGAGGTGGTGGTGTTGAGCTGGCTCACCCTGCCCCAGTGCTGGGCGCCACCCCTCCTGCGCTCCTCCTCTAGGCTGGACAGGCCAGGCTGCCGTTCCCCAGCAGGACGACAGGTGGCACCAGCCCCTAGCTGTGTTGGGCTGGCTGGTTAGGTGCAGAGGAGCTCTGGGACAGGTGGGGGTAGGGGCTACTGGGGCTCAGGGAGGTGTTCCCTGGTCCACCCCCCGGCTCCTTACCCTAATCCCAGAGCCCAGAATGCGATTGTCGGCGCCCATCTTTCATCCCCTCTGAGGGCTGCTCTGCCAGCTGTGCCCTGAGCTAGCTTCTTAAGCTGATCTAAATTTGTAGCAAGTGGGACCTGGGGACTGCTGGGTAAGAACCCCCTTTGCAGGGGCTGGGGGCTCTGGAGCTGGAGCACCAGGGCTTCAGACGTGGGCTCTGCAGACTGCAGGGGGAACTCTGGCCGTAGGTCCCTGCTGCCCAGAAGGGTGGGTGCAGTGAGCTAGCATGTGGTGGGCAGCCAGCGGTGGAGCTTGTCACCCTTCATCCCACTCACGGCCCCCAGAGAAGGGCAGGTGGCCACCCCTTGATGGAGGTTGCTGACCACAATCAGGGCCTCCCTCTGCTCCAGCACCCCATCACTGTTTCTTGAAGCTGGAAACTTGGGACCTGATACAGTGCCTGGCACACAGCAGGCACTGACAATACCAGGGTTTGAGCTGTGGTGCCAGGGCAGGGTGGGCTGGACTAGGTGGGTGTGCAGAAGTTCTGCCTGTGACACCCAGAGCACGCCCCACTGCTTAACTTTAATCTTGGTTGAGGCTGAGATTCTTTTCTTGGACAACTGTGTTTCTCGGCGTGACCCCGGAAGTTGTGAGTTCAAATCGTTTTTAACAAGCTCCCACTGCCCGTTCACTCCCCTCTCTCCGGGTGTTCAGGGGAAATTCTCTAGAGGCCGTGCACCCTGTTGGCTAATGGAATGATGCGTGTTCATTCTTGTGCTGAAAAGATGTTTCCATTGTAATTTTCATAGGACGTTTTAGAAATAATCAGTTTGGGGATCCTCAGTAGAAACCTTGGAGAACCACTGGCCTATGTTTTAAAAAACAGGAGTGCTTGTTAGTTCCAGAGGACACTGGTAGTGGGTTTCAACACGGGGGACAGATGAGGGTGGTGGAATTGTGGCAGTTCCAGCTGTGGAGTCTCAGCTGCAGGTGGTTGGGGCGGGCAGCAGGGGCCTGGGGATGCCAAAGGGCAGGTGCTCAGGCTCAACGGGGAAGAGCAGGAGGCCAGTCTGGAGCGTGACCCTGCCTGTGTCGGCCCCCACAGTGGGCTCCAGCCTCACATGAGGTGACTACTCCCCGCTGTGGGCACTCCTGATTCTTCTCACCAGCCTGGCCTCGCCGTGCGCATGTGGGGCGAGGCCGGGGGAGCAAGAGTTCCATAGTAGCGCTACTGTGGAAGTAAATAAAGTAATTATTCTTTAGTTATGAAGAGCAATGACTCCTACTTTCTGTTCCAGCTTTATATTTTAACTGAAGTAATGGCTGTTTGTATGGTTTACAATCCAAAGGGACAAGCATATGTGTGGTGGGACGTCCCCAGCCTTGTTTTTACATGAGGGTGTGGTGATAGGGCACGGTGAGGATGGTGGCAAAACAGTGCTTGTCTCCTGGCACTAGTTCTCTTCCCCTAGACACAAGTGCTCAGGTTCTTGTGGCTTATTACAGTTTCGTGTTTACCCTGCGTAGCTGGCTTTGTCAGTCGCTTAGCCATGGGAGGCAGAAGTTGTTTTCTTCTGTGTGGAAGGCGTTTGAGGCTCAGAAAGGTTCTGTGAGTTGCCCAAGGCTGCACAGCTAGAAAGTGGCAGGTGGTCTGGTCTTTGGAGCCTCCATCTGTTCTGTGAGGTGTGGGTGGTGCCCTCCCTGTGTTGGGAGGGTTACACACATCATGGGTAAGTGCCCAGCTCAGAGGACCAGCTCAGGGCTGAGCACACTCCCGTATGTGGAATGCAGGTGGCCACTCACGGAAGCTGAGGGCAGTATGTAGCAAGCTGGCTACTACAGCAAAGGGAATTCTCTAGAAGGCAGCTTTGTCCCAGCAGGGCCTCTCTTGAGATAGGGCCAGGTCCACCGGGAAGCTTTGGTTGTCACCCTGCAGTGTTGCTCCCAGGCAGGAGTGGCCACTCCTCTCTAGTTTGGTCCATGCAGGCAGGCCGGGCACCATAGGGCCACAGGTCCTAAAGCCCTGACAGGGACAAGGCTGCTGCAGGAGAGAACTAGAGGACAGGAGGGCTCTTAGGAAGAGGGGACGGCAGAGGAAACCACGATCACAACTGCCAGGCCCCTCTCCTGA